CTGAAAGATCATGGAGGTAATGGCAACGCAACCATTATTCAAGATAACTTTGACTAGGGATGGCAACGGGGCGGGTCGGGGGTGGTTTAACTATACCCGCACCCGCACCCGCCTCCATGTAACATACCCGCCCCCGCTCCCAAATCCAATCGGGGGTGAAAATTTACCACCCAGACCCGCCCCCAGTAGAAAACGGGTGCACCCGCCCCGCCCCCACCCGCAAAAAAATATTATTTTTTTAATTATAATAAAAATTAGTAATTTAATTAAAAATTTGATTATTTTAATAAATTAATTAATTATTTAATTAAAGTTTTAATTAATAAATGAATATTAACTTGATTAATTTTATTATTTTAATTGCAATAAGAATATTAATAACTTAATTAAAAGTATAATTAATAAATAAATATTAAAATAAATAAAATAAGGAAATCAAAATGAAATATATTATTTGGGACGGGGCGGGGGCGGGTGCGGGCGGGTCTTAGTGTCTACCCGCACCCGCACTCGTAGTTAAGAATCGGGTTTCACCCGCACCCGCACCCGCACCCAATTAAATCGAATTTCCCCCGTTAATTTCAGGGCGGGCCCGGGCGGGTGTGGGCGGGCCCAGGTTTGTTTGCCATCCCTAACTTTGACTCATCTGATGTTCTTATGGTTTCAAGTGGCGACTCAAGAAAATAGTGGATTATGGATTCAAGTTTCACTTGGCACATGACTCCAAACAAATAATTGTTCGAGGAGCTATGTGATCAAGATGGTGGATCTGTACTGCTGGGAAAAAACAAATCTTGCAAAATTGTAGGTATTAGATCTGTGAGATTCAAGCTCCATGATGAGTCAGTAAGGTTATTGACTGAAGTCAGGTATGTACCTGACTTGAAGAGAAATTTGATTTCTCTTGGTGAATTCGACAGAAAGGGATATGTTTTTTAAGGAGAGAAAAGTATCTTAAGAGTAATGAAGGGGTCGAAGGAAGTCTTGAGAGGCGTGAAGAAACAAGGCTTGTATACCCTTGAGGCTGAGGTTGTAAGTGGTTCGACAAATGTTGCATCCACAAAACCTGTGTCAAAGACAGAATTATGGCACATGAGATTGGGCCATGTCAGTAAAAGAGGTCTGTTCGAATTGAGGAAGCAGAACCTGTTAGGAGGTGACCAAGTTGAAAAGTTGGAGTTTTGTGAATCTTATGTATTTGGTAAATCCTGTAGGGCGAAGTTTAACAAAGGCAAGCAAAGAACACATGGATCCCTGAATTACATTCATGTTGATCTTTGGGGGCCTACAAGGAATCCTTCACACTCAGGTGCAAGGTATTTTCTATCTATCATTGATGACTATTCTAGAAAGCTATGGGTATTCATTCAGAAGACGAATGATGAAACTTTTGAGAATTTCAAAAGTAGGAAGATTCTGGTCGAAACTCAATTTGGCAGAAAGGTTAAGAGGTTGAGAACCAACAATGACCTTGAATTCTATAAAGAAGCGTTTGATAGTTACTGTGTTGAGTATGGAATTGCAAGGCATAAGACTGTAGCAGGTACTCCTTAACAAAATTGCTTAGCTGAGAGATTCAATCGAACAATCCTTGAAAGGGTTAGATGCATGTTGGTTAGTGCTGGATTGAAGAAAGTGTTTTGGGCGGAAGCTGTTTTAACAGCAACTTACCTGATAAATAGATGTCCTCGATTGCCTTGGGAATGAAGAAACCTGAAGAAGTTTGATCGGGACATCCACCTAGTCTCGACAGACTGAGAGTATTTGGTTGTGTTTCCTATGCTCATATTAGGCAAGACAAGGTCAAACCTAGAGCTCTAAAATGCATGTTCATGGGATACTCTGAAGGAGTCAAAGCTTATAGGTTATGATGCCTAGAGCCAGGTCATAGGAGGTGTATCACCAGTCGAGATGTAGTTTTCAATGAAGCAGAGATGGCTTTCAAGAAAACTGATAATGCTTACAAAGAGCTGGAACATGGAGAGATTCCTGTTGAGGTGGAGCATGTTAATGTTGAATTGCATACCCCAGATGAAGTCGAAGAAGACGCAGAAGATGTCGTCGAAGATGAGGGGACTGATAATGACTACCTACTAGCAAGATACAGGTCAAAGAGAGTCATCAAGCCATCTTAGAGACTTGGGTATGCAGATCTTATAGCTTATGCCTTAATCTCTACAAGTGAGGTTCTAGACAAAGAACATAGACACTATAAGGAAGTTATTAGGAGTCGAAAGAAGCTGAATGGCTGAAGGTCGTAGATGATGAGATGAAATCTCTTCATGATAACAATACCTGGGAACTGATCAAGAAACTTGCTGGAGCTAGGATAGTCAGCTGTAAATGGACTTTCAAAGTTAAGGAAGGAATCGAAGGAGTGGCGTCGAAGAGATACAAGGCAAGATTGGTTGCTAGGGGGTTCACTCAGAAAAAAAGGTATCGACTTCAATGATGTGTTCTCTCCTGTTGTGAAGCACAAATCCATTCAAATGTTGCTTGCCACAGTGGCACAGTTCAATCTTAAACTGGAATACATGGATGTGAAGATTGTGTTCTTGTATGGTAACTTAGATGAAACATCCCTGATGAGGCAACCTAAAGGATATGTCGAAAAAAGGAAGGAAGATTATGTGCGCAAGCTTAATATATCCTTATAGGGACTGAAACAATCTCCTCGACAGTGGAATAGGAGATTCAACAAGTTCATGGCACGCATAAGTTTCATCAGAAGTCAGTTCGACCATTGTGTTTACTTCAGATTTTGACCGGGTAAGTCATTTGTTATTTTGTTTCTCTATTGGATGATATTCTAATAGAAAGCAACAATGTCGAAGAGGTAATGAGGGTGAAGGCTGAACTCAATAAGGAGTTCGACATGAAGGATCTGAGAGTTGCGTCCAGGATTCTTGGGATTGACATCCAAAGAGATAGAAAGTAGTCGAGATTATGCTTATCTCAAGAGGCATACCTACAGAAGATTCTCGAAAAGTATGGTATGTCGAATTCCAAGCCTGTTGTGACTCCGAAAAAACCTCAATTCAAGCTGAGTATAGATCAGTGTCCCAACACTGATGTTGAAAGAACTTATATGAATAACATTCCATATGCTAATATAGTGGATTCTATGATGTATGTTATGGTCTGTACTAGACCCGACATAGCATATGCAGTAAGTCTTGTAAGCATGTACATGGCGAATCCTGGGAAGGCTCACTAGAAAGCATTGAAGTGAATTTTAAGGTACATAAATGGGTCTCTAAATAGAGTCCTAATTTATGGTGGAGTCTTGGGTGAAGATAGTAAAGCAACAATCAAAGAATATGTCGACTCTGATTTTGCAGGTTGTATGGATTCTAGAAAATCTATTTTTGGATATGTGTTCACTATGTTTGGGACAACAATCAGTTGGAAAGCAACACTTCAGAAGGTCGTTTCTCTATCTACCACTGATTCCCTAACTGAAGTTGTGAAGGAAGCATTGTGGCTTGAAGGTTTTGCAAAGGAGGTGAAACTTCAAGGTCGAGTTATCACTGTTAAATATGATAGTCAAAGTGCAATACTCTTGCCGAAGAATTCAACCTATCATGAGCGAACCAAGCACATTGATGTGAGGCTTCATTTCGTCAGAGGGGTAATCGAGCATGGAGAAGTCCAAGTGCTGAAGGTTTTGACAGATCATAATGCTGCTGATATGATCACCGAGACGTTGCCCAGTTGCAAGTTTTTCCACTGTATGCAGTTGATCAAGCTGCATGAAGAAAGCTAGATCCTTGATGTTTTAGAGTTAGATCCAAGGTGGAGATTTTTAAGATGTTGGATCGAACTCTAGTATGGTTGAAGGGTAGCTTCTGGTTCGACATGAATTAAGCATGAGGTCGAAGTCTATTCGCATGCTGCTGTCGAAGATAATGCGTGTTGTAGTTGAAATTTGTTCTAACATGCATTATTCAATATTTCCAGGTTGTTAGCAGATTGGATAGGGCCTTGCTTGTAAGACCAAGTGTTTAAATTAACTTGTATCCTAAGTTAGCTTGTAATGGGTAATTGTTAAAAAGCTCATTAGGTTAGTGTGCTATTTTTCTTATAAATAGGATATTAGTTTCTCAATCTTGGCATAAGGAAAAATAGGAAGATAAAATCATAATTTTAAGTGAGAGAGGTTATTTTATTATTCTTATATACTTGTAATCTTGTTCAAAGAGAAAAGAAAAAATAACTGTTTATAACCAATCATTATTGTTCCTTGTTGTTTTACCTTGTCTTCTTTGTTAACCCCAACCTTTATGTGTTTCTTGATAATTAAGAAACTGTTTTATACTTTGTTTAAAGACATCTGTTTCACAACATACTATAATTTATTTTCTGATTACCATGATAAAACTATAAATTATGCAACTATTATGAGGAACTTGTCATGCGATTGGATGCACCTGAATCAAGAAATCATGGCGACAAATATTAAAAGACTTAATTTGAATTCCCATTTGTTGAATAAGTTCAAGCTGTAAAGCACCAATGTTTTATGCACCGCCAATGGAAGGACCAATTGCAAAATTTGTTGCATCAAACGTTGTGTTGATCATGGAGTACGTATGGGAAACTTAAAGATAATATGACCCTATTGTTAGCAGTAATTATAAATTATTTTACTGCAGATACGAGCAACGTACATTCAACCGTGTCTAAATTATTTGTAAGAGAGATCCTACACATGTCTTATATAACGACTTTTACCTCTACTTTGAGTATATAATCAAGTATCACAGACTCATAAATAATAGATTCGTGACACATAGCTCATTGAGTAATAAAATGGTGTTCCACTCTTAGAAGTACTCTAACACAAGGAACATACAAGTTTTTGATTTTCAAAGAAACGATTTCCAAACAAACACTAACGACAAACACGATTATAAACAAAGTCTAAATAAGTCCTTCCAAAAAAATCCAAACATTTTAACAAAAAAAGAAAAAACTTATAAAAGTAATCCAAACTGAACTTAAGTAGTAGAGTCAAGTCTCAAATTACCACAAAAGTTACATTCAAGAACATTAGATTTTTCACCATCTTTTGGAGGCAGAGGAGCCAAAGTTCCTGAACAATTCACCTTATCACAAACAAACTTGGACAAGAAAATCACATGTGGCAAATCACTGTCCTTGTTCTCCCCCTCATTCCAATTTGCTTCAATCCTACACCTATCACAGTCACAAACAAAACCAAAATCCTCCATCAAGATTCTTTTCCTTGTTGCGTAATCCTTATTAATCCTAAAGTAGCTTATGCAGATCTCACTTCCAGCACTAACATCCTTAATCAACCTAATAACAATATCAGTATTATGTTCATCACCAGGCTCACCATTTTCCACATAATCAAACCTGCATGCATTAGGAATACAATCATGGTTACACATAGTAGTTTTTTGGTAAATTCCATAAGCCTTAATGGATCTCTGAGGGCCATTTGGTGAATAAGGTTCCATTAAGCAAAAAGAGTTTACTCTTTCTATTGAAATGAGTTTAGCTGCTAGTTGAGGTGAAAAATTCATGCGGGGTGGACAAAAAGGCGAGATAAGAGAATGAATGAACTTAGAAGCATAAACTATAGCATCGGTTTCATCATCATTTGGAATACTATGAAAAGAAAGTAAAGCTTGAAGATCTGAAGGGGTGTGAATAGCAAGATTATAAGCAGCAACAACGAAACGAGTTTGAACTTGGAGTTCAGATGGTTTTTCTGATAAAGGTGAAGTGGGGTTTTGAAGATGAGAGAGTGTTTGACATGTCCAAGAAGAGTGAGAGGAGTTAAGGGCAATGGAGAGGCAGTTTTGGCTGCAGAAAAGGTAGTTAGAGCAAGAAGGACATGGAAATGTCTGTGAAGGTTGTAGGGTTCTGAAACAGTGGTGACAGTAAGGGGAGGGTGAAGGAGAGAAGAGAGGTTCAGCTGAGTAGAGAAGGAGAGGGGATTCGGTGAGGACTATTTGGCCAGCTTTGAGATCTTGTGCTGCAATGAGGCCTCTGCCTTTGTTAGGTATGTTGTCCATTTTTAAGAGAGTGGTTGAAGTTGGAACAGCCATGGGTTTTGGATATGGATCAATTTTTCTTCACTTCACAAGTTTTAGGATTCAAGATTCAGAAATTTGATGACCAAAGTGGTGGTAAGGGGATTCAGTGAGGATTGAAGAGAGAGAGAGAGTAGGAAGAGGATGAGCCTTGACAGATCTGAGAGAACAAGGACGCACATGTTTTAATATTTTCTTATTATAATAAAATATTCTATTCATCAATTATTTGTTGATTCTTTTGATATATTTATTACGATATAGAAATGTTTTATGGATCTCACTCTAGTTAATCACATTTTAAATCAGTAGGTAATTTAGTTGAATGTATGAGTAATTTTGATCAGATTTAATATAGTAAAATTATAATTAAATATAGGGATAAATATGTTTGTCATCTTGTTAAATATTTTAAATTTTGTTTTTAGTTTTTTGGCGGTAATGTTGGTGCGATGCGAGTTTGATGACGGAGTTGACGTCGTGGTGGCTGACAGTATGAAAATGCTGGTGCTTGGTGGTGTGGCAAGTACGGATCTGTCGACACACCAGTTAGGTTGATTTCGGCAAGCAATCCAAGTATGTCGAATATCATATCTGACCCAAATAATTTTTCTGTATCAGGCTTTCTTGTTTTGGTTTGTGGGTCTATTTGTTAATGGGTTATGTTTTAGGCCCATTAAGTATTTGTTGGTTTCAGCAGTTATAAATATGTATCTTTTTTTTTCTTATCGTCACAATGTTCAGAATTTTAAGAGCTGAGAATGATTAAGGAATCATAGTGGTAATCTTAAAGAGATAATGGTAAATTCCTTATAGCGTTTTCTTGAAATTTGGGAAACCTTTGGAGATATCTAAGGGGAATTGAGAAACACTTTTAAATACATTGAGATTTTTTTATTCATATTTAGAGAGAGTTAGAGAGATTTTGAAACACTTGGGTGGACTATATGGTTAGTTCTTGGAAACTAATATGACTGTTTTTTAAGAAATCATTTGTAACTTTTTGTAATAATTTTTAGAAGTAGTGAATTAGAGAGGTATTATCACCTCCAGATTATATCGTTTGATCAAATTAGATAAACAAGTTATCATGTTTCTTGTCTTTTATCTTCTTCTGTCAAGTTAAATTGTCGTCATATTGCAAAAAAATTTATTTTTGTTGAAGACCATTTATTTTAATTGTCATTGTTCTTTGTCCCCACACACATCAAATTTTTTGGTGTGATTGAACCTTTCAATTTCACAATAAGTTGCGCCGACCGTAGGGGAAAGGAATTATGTTTACAAGTGAGCACCATTGGTTCCAAATGGAAGCTTGAGAAGTTTTCTAGAGACAATAGTTTTGGATTGCAGTAAGTGAAGATGCTGACAGTTTTAACTCAACAAAAGTGTATTTAAGCGTTGAAGGCTGACATATCGATGCCTGCGCGCCTAACATAAGCAGACAATTTTGAGATGGAGGATGATGTCATAAGTGTCATTATTTTAAATCTCTAGAATAAGGTTCTAAGATAAGTCGCTAAGGAGAAGAGTGAGGCTTCAATACAAATAAAATTTGAATTTCGTGTTCGAAAATTAGGGACATTTTTGCAATTTCACATGGTATATTAGAAATATATAAAATCTTTTAATAAATTCTCAAATTCAATTGATGTTACAATATTTGATCCATGTCTATTATTTCATTACTTAGAAAAATCAATTTTATGTCGGTGTTTCATTGAAATTCATGGTTTTTAGCGAATAATTATTTTATTGTCTTACGCGAGTTTAAGTATTCTGCAAATTGGATTCCATATCTACTTAGAAAGTAAAAATATATTACAAATAGATTATGACCTTCCTTCTAATGGACATAATTTAAGAGGGCTATGCTCTTTTTACATAAAAGTTTTGGTCAAACTTCTATTTTCTTAATTTTTTTTTTACTATATTGTTTTTTTAATCATGGATATTTCTATTATTCTTACATGATCATTGATCGTGTTTTTTCTTACAAAACTACTCGTTAAAATATTAAATGGTGGAATATAAGACAACATGTTTCAAAGACAAATGTTAAGTGTGTTATATTTTTTGATCAATTGCTTACCTTTTTGGAAGTGAAGACTATCTCTTAGTAATAGTTTTATTAATTACATTAATATTTCATCTGTAATCAATACTTAATTTATACTCAATATTTCATTAGTACTCATATTTTCAAAAATATATTTTTAAAAATATATTTTCGAAATAAATTTATTTATAAGATTGAGGTGTGATTTAAAAACAAATGAAACTATATATTAAAATACGTTCAAAGATATATCTATAAAAATAAAAGGCATATTTGAAAAATCACGCGATGTACTAAAATCATATAACGTATAATAAGAAATTCTCTTGAATTTACATGAAGTAATGAATCTACTTACAAAGATATATCTATAAAAACAAAAGGCATATTTGAAAAATCACACGATATACTAAAACCATATAACGTATAATAAAAAATTCTCTTGAATTTACATGAAGTAATGAATCAACTTAAGTCAAGACTATTAAGGATATACATAATGAAAAAACATTATTATTATTAATTAGCCTAGTTTTAGGAATGGATACTAGAGAAGGAAAATACATGACAGTGGTTCAACAATTGGGTAATATTTACTTTCACAAGTGTTTAGTTTATTTTAATATTGTACAAAATTCATTTTAATAAATTATTTAAACAACGTGATTAGGAAAATTGTAGGAATGTACCCTCTTTGTATTATAATTCATACACTGTTAAAGGAAAAACGTTGTTTCTACAAGTATTCAAAGTGTGAGATATTGGATCGAATTCTAGTATAATTAAAGGTAGTTTTTTAGTTTGACAGTTCGACGAATATTTAGCATGCAGTCGAAGGCCGTTTACATGTTATTGTCAAAGTAGTGTATGTTGTAGTCGAAGTAGGGTCAAGCATGCAACAGTCGCAAATGCTAGATTTATTAGCATGATAAATTGGATTTTTTTTATGTCAAATTGTTTAAGTTAGTTTGTACCTTAAGTTAGTTTGCATTAGTTTAATATTTTAAATTTTATTATAAATAACATATTAGTCTCTCATCTTAAGTGTGAAAATCTTAAATGTATGTGATTTCTATTGTTAACATATTTAATTCATTAAGTGTCAAACTAACAAAATAATTAACATCGGAAACCTGAAAAAATATTGCTCCCAAACTTAATTCCCTTTTATAGTAGTTGTTATCTTTGGTCCAAGTCTCACTGCAATTTACAGGAACATTTTGTAGCAATCTGTTAGCAGTAATGAATAAATTGTTCATGACATTAGTTTAAACAAATGAGGAACCTTGAAACAAATGAGATTTGTTTTAAAAAGCCAATAACTAATAAAACTACTTGAATATAAAACACTTGATATGTCACTTATCATGATATCTTTTTAGTTTAAGTTTTGACACAAAGCCAAGGGAGTAAAAAGAAAAAGAACACTGCATTAAAGCTTTAAGATGGACTATGAAACCAAAATATCAATTCATACCTTTAAATTTCAGTCAATATAATTGTACTGCAACTTAGACATCTGCATCGTATAAGAGGAATAAGATAGTTTGAGTTTCGTCAATAGAAAAAGAACCACATTCTTAAGATTAATACTCACACATCACTTCTAGAACAACAAAGAAAGACAACAAAACAAAAATTGACTGCATGGACAAAGAACCTCACAAAGATAAAGTAAATCATTTGGCCAACAACTACTACTACAAAAAATGCTTGTTATCTCGGACATGAAATGCATAATACCTCGACTATAGAAGCGAGGTAATGGAGTGCGACATGATAACTCGCAATTTATCAGCTCAGTGTTATTAACACCAAGAGATAAAATTAAATGCACATGGGTTCAAATCTCAACAACAACATTTTTATTATTTTAAAAACTATCGTATATTTCATCTCGATTTATCTTTAAAACCAAATTGTTAGATAATTTTTTTTAATTGTTACATTGTTTACACAGAATATTACATTGTTTAAAATAAAAGTCAAATCCTCTAGAGAACAAGGTAAAAGTAAAATTCCCTAAACATCTAGACTTTAGATATTCAAATTATTGAATCTCGAGTAAGATCAAATGTTGGGCGCAAGGTTTGTCTCTTCGGATCTTACATGCATTTGATTCTGAAACAAAACAAAATAAGGGTTAGATAAATAAAATCAATATTCAAATACATGATTTTGTCCTCAAATAAATATTTAAGAAAAAAACCTTAAACTCATGTAATTTTTTACTCTTGCTATCTGTTCTGCACTGGGTCGACGCTTAACCCACAACCAAGCAGGCCCAAACCCCACTGGGGTTGGGCCCAATAAGACCATGCTGACAGGCAAAAGACCCGTCGGGCTCAACCTTCCCCCTCGTCGGGCATAGGCCAACAGCTGTCGGGCAGGACCATCGCAGCCAATCAACCAGCCTCTTTCTTCCCCGTCGTCGGGCAGAGTCCAGCCTGCTCGGGGAGCTCCTCGAACCTTCCCCCACGTTCTCTATGTGTCCCTCACGCAGAGACACGTCATAAAGTAACTACCCACGTCCTGGAGATTCGGTCTTCCTCCTCCCGGATAGTGCGAAACAGTTACCCTAGGGCGTAGACCACGTGCTGATCTTCACGACGCCACGTCAACCCTAACAGTTACTAACATTGGGCCTGACAGCCTAACCCAGTGCTAGGTAACTGTTGACCCTGCGCTCGGGGCTCATTATAAATACCCTGTTCACTAGAGGGTCAGGTAACTTAACTCTGTTACTCTCTCTCCGTACTTGCTCCCACTCTGCTCGTCACTTACTTTGGCATCGGAGTGTGTTTCAGGTACACCCCCTCCTCTTCCATACCTTCAGTGAATAGCTAGCAGATCAACGACGCGTGGCAGGCCACTGATTCCTTTCTAATCAGGTAAGATCACTATCCCTGATTAGAATTTTTCTAAACGTCTTTATGTTTCAAGCGCTTCATGTTTC